ATCACACATATTTAAAGCTTTTTTGATTGTTTCTGAACAAGTCCGAGATTCAAGAAGACATCCACGCAGTAAATCCCCGAGGTAAGTTGCGTGTCCAATTCGGATATCTTCAAAGTCACGAAAGGTTTCTGATTCACTTATATGCGTTTTTTCATCGTTCATGGATGATATGTTGATTCGATTAACAAGTGTTTGAAAGTTCGATTCAATAATATTCATCTAATATAAGATTTAAAAAAATTTTAAAAAAAAGAGAAATATATTAATTTCTAAGAAAACATAATACACTTGTTTAAAATAGAAATTCTACCTGTATATGTCCCCATAAACAATCTACAAAGAACATCATCGAAGCCCTAACTTTCCATGGCATCAGCATACTATAGTTTTTATCATTAGAGAGTTTATTGTCGACTGATCCAAATTTTCTAATCATGGCGAGGTGTGTCCAAACTTTTTGAAGTCGGAACTGAGTACAGCGAAGAGACAATAGAAAAGAAAAGATGTTTCCGTATTTATCCAAATCTTCAGCAGTGACGAACAAATCTAGAGGCCAGCCAATATCATATTCAAGTCTAAGGGGGACACCAAGCATAACACTATCAAATATGTTGTTCGGTGTCGTCATAATTTTTTGATCGCTTACATTTGGTAGTTTGAATCTGAATTTTTCGAAAGCAGGATCACTCTCTGCCGATGTGCCCACGGACGTACGCACCAAAAGTGAATTCAGTTCTTGTTCTCTAACCATTAAAATTTTTGATGGCATAGACCTGGACGATGTTAATTTTTCAAACTGTTCAACAAGTGATAACGCAAAATCACTTTGTCCAAGTAAAAAATAGTTCCTAAATGCTTCTAAGCACTCAACAACTTTGTCACCCGTTAACACAACTTTCCATAACCACTGTGCTACATTATCTCGTATGATAGTTACAACATTTTCAAGTTCAATTAGACGAAAAATTGGTCTTGATGAAAGTTGCAAAAGATGTTGAAGATGTAGAGAATTAAGCGAATGTGGTAAAGTACTATTTTTTTCATGTGGTTTAGCAGCATTCCTTACCGTCGCAATAGCTTTACCAACAAATAGGATTGATTTCGCTACGTCGTGTGGTATATGATTCGGAATAAAAGATTCATCGATAACAAAATATCGATGCCATCTTGATTGGTTAAACAGAATTTTAGAAGTTTCATCCTTTACAAAGAATTCACTAAAGGGATCTTGTAAGTGACCATAAACCATCCATGAAGTTATATGTTTATACATAACTTCGTGACAAGCTTGCAAAATTCTCAACATGATTGTTCGTAATTCGGGTACACCAGTATTACATCTATCAGTAATTAGATTAAGGATTCGACAGCCAAAATAATTTGTAGAATTTTTTTCTATTTCAATTATTAATTGATGCAAGTGTGGTAATATTATATAATAATCACCAAAGGCAGAAACAAATTGTGATACTGGAACCACACCACCCATATTATCTTCTTTATTTAAAATTCTAATTTCACATTCTATAATTGTCTTTTGAAAGTCAGCAAGAATTCCGTTCAAGGCGTTGCAAAACGCATGTATATATGATCCACGAAATGATATTGTATCTTCCAAAAAAAGAACAATACGCCGATAATAAAATCCCAAAGCAGCAAGACGCTCCAAGGAAGTTTTTTCAGCTTCGTGCAAAAAAGGAAAGTCAGGTGGAATTTTAAAAGTGGTGGCCGTTTCTGGCTGTGAAGGAAATGGCACGAACAAGTCACCAGACAAGCCAGATAAGGCTAAAAGTAACTCATGAAGCATGGTAATCCGTGCCTACTTGGAAATAAAAAAAATCGCGTTTTGGGTGA